TCCTCCTCCCCTGTCCCGGTTTCGTTCCCCCTCTGCCATCGCTTCTCGCGATCCACCGCCTGCGGAGTCGTGCTGGCGTGTGGAGCGCGTCGGAGGGTTGATTAAAACTAACGTTGCGCCAAGAATTACCCTGTGAGATTGAAAATTAAATTAATATACAAAACCCCCGCCCACCCGGGGCTAATTAGTTATATGATAGTAATTAAAAGTTAAGTATATCTTCGTGCGCGGACGTTCTAGCGTACCTCCCGTCGCTCCCGGCTGTCATCTCCAAAACGGAGCCGTGAGCAATCCTTTAGTCCCGAGTACTTGAAAAAAATAAAAAAAAACCCGATATCACTCCTTCTAACAAGTCTTTCAGATATTTTTGCGAAAGTCGCATTTCTGTTACATTCAATTACATTAAATTAACTTTTCACATGTTTGACAACATTCAGAATTTGGCTTTCAAATTAACTTTTACACCACTAGATGAAAAAAATACGCGTGCGAAATACAAAGACTCTTCACTCTTCCTACATATTTTAATTAGCAATTCACAAAACTACGTATTTACATAAACTATTCCGAATTATTATTACTGTCATAATGGCGCAATTACTATTTTTCAAGAGGCTATATAAATTGGTTGCAAACAAGCAAATATATTTATTATTGTTGGATATCAAAAAATAAATGGACTCGCGCAGCTGGCGTGGCATTAATTCCCATTTGTTGCGCGCTATCTTTAGACGAGCGATCAGTATCATCGAGTACCTACTAGCAAAAGACAAATTACCTGGCCGTTGCGCGATCTCACGGAGCAACCTTGATACGATAGCGCGCGCGTAAACGCGCCCTAGTTCTCTGCCAAACTGAAAATAGTCGGCGAACTAATATCGCGACGTTGGAAATATTTTATACCTACATACGTTGCGCGCGGCGCGCACTCATATTCGAGCAACTTTCCTTACGAGTTATAACGCGTGCTTTATATCCGCCTTCGAAAATAATTTCGCTAACCGTGATTCCTTGGGGGAGCATGGCAGCGTATCGCAATAACGCTGGGAAGGGTGAAAAAAAAAAGAAGAAAAAAGTCTCCGCGACTCTCGGAAAGTCGCGAGCCGATGCGCGCCGCGCCGTGGCCACCGCATCGAATTTAGTATCGCGCCTGTTTTCATTATTTTCTGGCGAGAAAATTTAGTCCAGTCCGCTTAACAATTTTCGCGGTTTGGTAATGGACCTGCAGAGAAATTCCTGATATCATCTAAATCCAGGTTAATCCGCAGAATTACAGAATTATAGAGAATTATAGACTAATACTCCTCATTTCTGATTACGCCAGGCATGAGGTTTTAATTGGTTCGATCGGCCGTTTGCGCGTATCTGTCATGAGATAGCATATGAGATGTACAGTGCCGTTCACAAGTTTACAAACATGGGCTACAAAGGGAGAATCTTTTGTATTTATGTTTATTGTACCTATTTAGAAATTTGTAGACGACAAGCCTTATCGCAAATGGAGCCTGTGATTTTGAGAGAAATCGGAGGAAGAAAAATCTCGCCAAGTTCGATAAATTTAACGATAATGTGAATAAATCGCACGGAAAGACACGTCTGTCGCGTCAATTTGCAGTTAATCTCGCATAACTAATAGAAAGCGCGTGCCAAAGAAACGATAATCCGCCAATCTCGTATCCATTAACGCAATCTAGAAACGTCACGTTTCGAGATATCTCTCACAAAGATCACGAGGAAATGAAACTATCCGACTTACAATTAGATCTAGAAATTGTAGGTACAGTAGATTTAGTTAGGAACCGCATTCACAGTCGACTGCTTTCTTAAATGAATTTAGAAATGAGAGAAATTTGAGTTCGTTGTACTGAAAATCAAAGTGGCTGTTTCGTTGATTGGAATTTAAACTCACAAACTTATTGTTACATTGGTAATCAGTGACGCAATTTATATGCATTTCTCCGAGAACACACATAAGGGACTTGCAATGACTGTCTCTCAAAGAATATTCGGGTCCGACTCGAAAGTTGAAAACCGCTTGGCGGCAGGCCAGAGCTCACGTAACTACTTGTTTTGCCAAAGCTATGCGACGCCTGCCGGCCTTCGCCTTCCGCCGCAACGGCGGCATAGTCAGTCGATTTTCGAAAAAGGTTAACACCTAGTCGTCCGGATCCAACCGCGACGACCACGTGGCAGCGAACGCGCCTGCGTGTCC